CACACTTCAGTTACTGTAGTCTGTTGTGTAATACTGTATTTCTGTAGAAGCTTGGAAAAATTTACTGAAAGAAGCCGCTTATTCTTGACTTATGTTTGTTTGTTAGCATTATTTTGGGTGGAGCCGGTATGCGTTGGCTAATCAATAAATTCCAGCTATTAGTTATATCTTAATGCACGATTTTTGAACAAACATTTTTTCGGCAGCTACAGAAATACAGTATTATACACAACAAACTACACAAGCGGACGTGTGCAGGTATTTCCGTTTTGACTGTAAACGGTGATAACTAACTCACACTAAACAGACTTTTTTTGTGTTATTAATGACCAAGAATTATAAACTTAAACTGGAAACAGAATTGGTTAATATTGTATCAATATTTAATTTGCTTTGTTATTTTAGGGCAGAACTACATGTTACACTAAAAGTGGATATAGTGTCAACAGATTTCACTCATTGCTTCCAGGTGGATGTCGAGAGTCAGGAAAGCCTTCAGGTATGCTATGTACAGTTTCATAAATTATATATTATACAAGAGTAGGGGCATAACAGGAAATTTCCAGGGGGACGCTTTTTAAATTATGACTTACAGCAAATATAGGCCTTAGAATCAGGGCTCAAAATAACAGCCGGTCAACGGACAATGAGCAGCCAAAAATGCCTCTTGACTGGTTTACCTCACCAGTCTTTTTGACCAGCCACAGTTGTATGCCTTCCAATGTGATTGCTGACGTCTTGAATTAAAACATGAAACTATGATGTATCGAAACAAGTTTCTAACAGTTTGTTTCACTGTTAGTGTAAGCGTATCGATGACCGGTCAAAAACAGATTTTGACCAAGCTAAAATCAAAGTGACCAGTCTTTTTTACCCGAGACCTTTTTTACTCGAGACCGTTATTTTGAGCCCTGCTTGGAATTGCCTTATACTAGTTTACTGTACATTATATTAAACACTATGTCAAAAACTTCTGTCATCAGAATAGCATAATTATAAAGCTTGACAAGAAGAATTTTGAATTAGGATTCTGTCATTGAAGGAGGTTTAACCCGTTGAGCTCCAGCACTCTCCCAGGGTTGACCGTTGACAAGTAAGATTCCCAGGCCCACATCTGTGAATTATCTTTTAGATTATACACTGTTGGATTGTATATACAGCGAAATACACAGAACATTTTTTATCCTGGATGTGATGTGTTGGAGAGGCCATCCAGTTTATGACAGTGAGGTCAGAACGTCTCTCTTCTCAGTATGGCTAGGTTTTAACTCTGTTATACCTGATAACTTTCCGTGGTGACATTAAGAGACGCCTAGATCCATACCTGTTAGGAACGCTATTTTCAAAAGGATTATTGCAACGAGAGATGTTGTTTCGTTCAGCTTCTGAGAGTTGTACATTTCGTATTGGATAGGCAAGGGCGGATTTTCATTTTTAAAGGAGGGGTGGAAAAATTTCTGGTGGGGTGCACTGAGCGAGCTTCAGCAGGGGTTAGGCGTTCGGGTTAAAGACTTTCACACAAAATAGTTGAGGTGAATTTTTGGTGGGGTTGAACAAGGGGTTAGAGAGATTCTAAGGGGGTTTTAACACCCCCCCCAACCCCCCCCCCCCAGTAAATTGGCCCATGCGGATAGGTGCTTTTTTCGTGTTACTACAGAAAGTTATCTGGTAG